TTCACTGTATGTGTACTTGGGATTTGAAACCTGAACTAAGAGAACCATTAGAAAAAAGAGGAAAAAAAAGGAAGAAAATGAAAGATAATGTTTAAGGTGATCCTGGAAGATGTGACTGTCAGGTGGGGCACTGCCTTCAGCAGCAACAGCGCTACACTTGAGTGGCTCCAACACTGTCAGTACAAGTCCTACCGTGCTCGGTAGCTTGGCCTTTGCACCAAGACCTGCCAATGTATCCATGTTTTTCTGCTCAGGCCTGCCTCACAGAATGGTTTCTGCTGGATTAGAGAAATTTAAGCACCCTTATCCCTTTACATGCAATGATTTAAAGGCAGTGATGCTGCTGATGGCCATCATTGACATTGCATCTCCCTGGCCTGTCACAGCCCACATCAGTGGCACCTTTTAAGTTAGGTGGCTCTCTAGAGAACCAAAGCTTCTATGTTACAAATAGTTCTCAGCTAAGTGCTTACTCTTATGCTCATTCTCTATTTTTCTGGCTTAGTACAGCCTCCCCAGCTCATATTTTCCATCTCAGGTAAATTGATACTGCCTCAGTGGCTGCACTTCTGCCCCGACATCTCAGTGTCAGTGGGGTTGTGTGGGTTTTAGATGCTTCAGGGGCCCTTTTGGTTTGGAGGGCACAAATGTGCATCACATTTTGAAGCCGGTACTGTCGTGAACTGCCTCTCTGAGGAGGCAACAGGGCTGACATTCAGGCGTGCAGGCTGTGCTGGGATTCCCTGGTCCTCCATAAGCTGCCGACTCTGCAGCAGTTTGAGTTGCTATGATAATCAGGAGCTGGTTTCAAGCAGAAAGTGGCAGGCTCATTTAAGGGAAAAACTAAGGAAAGTATTATTATGCTTTGTGAAAACAGAACCTTAGTCCAATAAGCTCATAATTCTAGGGGAAAATATAAAATGCACTGTGATTTTTCCCCATTTCTCCTAGTTTCTAGCAATTAGTCTCTCCTTTTAATATTTCTGTGCAGCATGTTAGTAATGTGGGTGGCAAGTCTCACGCTGCAGGCATTACAGCACCCAGTGAGGGTCTTTTTCTGCTTCTGACGAGCACTGAACATGCCCCATCCAATAGTTTTATTGTGTGATGTATATATCCACATTGACTGGGGGCATGGAAAGCTTTCACAGACCCAAACCCTGACTTCAGCATGATTTCACACTGCAGTGCATTCAGTGTAAAACCCCTTTCTGCCCACAATTAACCTGTTCATTCCCCCAAAGCACGCAGCAGCTCTGTCCTTTTCTGGCAGAAGGCAATGCAGCTCAGCTCTCACCCCTTGCTGGTTGCTGTGTTTGTGGGTCTTGGCAGTGTAATCCCTTTGCAGCGAGCCCTGTGGTGCGGAATGGCTGACAGCTATGTTCTTGATATCCAGATTTCTTCCATGTGTGTTCTGCCTATGTCTGCCAGCAAGCAGGCAGCAATACCCATAATGAGACTTAACACTTGTATAGCTTTTTACATTGTATTCCTTATCCCTATTACTAATGCAAATTATGAGGTATAATAGCAGCAGATGCAATCTAACACTGCCTGGGACTCTCCCTTTTGTTAAGGCTGGATTCTGGCTTTTGTAAGCCAAGTTTCATTAGCAGAAGTGGTGGAGGGAGGGGAAGGAAAGCCTGTTTCTGGATGACACGCTATCACCAGTGGAGAGCAGCAGCCACCAGCTTGCTGCCACTACATACCTCAGAGAGGTGGCGATGTCCAGCTCCTGCTGCAAGCCCTGTCAGCGCAAGGATTTACAATATCATCCCTCAGACTTGCTTAACCCCTGCTAGGCATTAAAGCTGGCTTCTCCTGGATCCTGTTTGGATAAGGACATCTCCAGGGCCAGGGTGCAGGGGTGTGCGCTGTCACAACTCAGCACTGTTCTTGGGATCCTTGTCTCTTTGTTGGGGCTCCTTATGCAGACCATGTGGAGAGGGACATGTGAGTGTGCAGGTAAGTGTATTCACACACACATGCCTATGTGTGGAAGGGACCCTGAAAACCAAGCCCCAAAGCCCTGCCCTGAATGCGTGCTGGGCTCTCAACACCCTGTGATGCTGAGTGCCTCTTGCAGCAAGCGCCTTGGTGTGTAAATGATGGCTCTGGCAGAGCCATGAAATATGCATTGTTTGTGTGGTTTTGGAGTCATACTTTTCCTCCAATTATCCTCCTTTCACTTGACAGCCCGCAAGCCATGGAAGAGGCTGCTCCTTCGCCCCTGTGTAACCATGTTGATATGTATACCTGCATGATCAACATTTACTGACACCTATTTCCCTGCAATATAAGAGCCTATATCATTTTATCCATCTTCATGTCGGGTCCTTACACATCAGAGCTCAGCTTTGTTTTCCATTTACTTCTTGCAGCTCTGGATTGCTGTGGATTTCATCAGTGTGCTCTTTTAAATACAAATATGTTAGGCCTCCCTATCCTGCTGCCTTCAATGCTGAGCAGCCTGTGAGGCTCAGGTTCCCCACCAGCACCATATGGCGCTATGGAAAATGGTTCTCTGTCTGAGATACCTGGATACGGCCAGTAGTGATTAAGAGAGATTCACTGTTGTGCCTGGGGTGCAGAGGTAATTAGAAACGTTGATAATCACAATGCAGTGGTAAAGAACGTCTCCCAGATTTATTGCCTCCCTCCCGCTGATCCTGCAATGAGATTTATACAAATTTACCCAAGCTAGAGCTATCCTGCGTAGGAAATAGTAAGCAAAGTGGATACAAGGACTGATCTTGGAATAGAGAAAAGCCTTGCAGGAACATTGGGGTGCTTGTGTGACCAGTCCACCCCATCTTCCTGCACTTGCAGAGGAGCAGAGTGGCCTTCTCCTAAGGGAAGCTGTGATGGAGCTTGGAAAGTATCTCCAGCCCTGTCCCAAAGCCCTCTCCAGGGAAATGCAGTTAGGAATGGTGCTGTGCTTCCTGAGCATGACTCATGTAAGGTTCAGTGGGTCTGATGCACACAAACAGAACTACTGTGATTTGAAGAAGCTGAAGTATTAATGACATGGAGAACACAGAGAAATGGTGATAGACAAGCAAAGTGGCACTCTGTGCACTGTGACAGGCTGGCTTGCTTTTTAGTTTTGCCAAGGCTTTGACACTTGGCCTTTAGCATACAGGAGTACTGATACTAATTTGACTTGGGAAATACTCCCACATGAAAGCAATCAGTGCACTGTACCAACACAAAATGCAGTTTAACTAATGTGTTGTGGGAGGGAGAATAAAGCTGAACTTCAGATTTAAGTTCCAATTTTTAAATGAGTGGGTGTGAAAACATATAAATTAATTGCTCACTGCATTCTCCATATAGAAGCAGTACCAGCAAGGAGTCAGATAAATAGAGAGTTTTCAGGCCCAATTTGTAATGCTGTCATCAATTACAAACACCTGAGCTAGAGATTGAAAGCAGGTGAGCTGAGGGGAAGCAGACTATAAAATGGAGGTCAGAAGGGAAAGACAGAGTTTAGGCCTGGAGGAGCCCTGGAAACAGCTGAAGAAGTGGTGTCTAGCACTGTCTTTCAGGTGGGTAAAGTGAGGCATAGAATGAGAAAATAAGTTTCTAGGTGTTTTCTGCTGATAGAGACAGTATGGCTGGATGGGCTTTTGGTTTCACTTTTTTGCTTTATGTTTCTGGTAAGTGCAAAGGATTCATGCTGTCTTATAAATCCACCCCATTCACTTTTCAAGGAGCCTGTGGTTCTCTGTGTATCTTGGGTTTAAAGTTACCAGAAGCAGCCATGGAGACCTTCCAATGGAAATCTATCTCTTCCATGATTGGGTTAACTTGGGTATTGCTGCAGTGGGAGATGCTGCAGGGTGTGGATGTTTCTTGCCATGTACTCTGACAATGCTTTCTTAGTTAGGAGCTGTGTGCTTTCTTCCTCATTAAGACACTTCTTGTGTTACCTTTATATTGTGTTTAATAACGCAAACTCATTGTGGATGGATTTGTGTAGCAGACCAAGTTTCACGCTGTTCTGTCCAATGTGTTCTTTTGTAAGAATGAAATTGAATGAACAGTAGGGTTTTTCCTCCTGCTGCTCTTCTGCCAGTGGACTTCTAAATCATAAACAAAGGGAATTTTAACTGCCATAGGCTTATCCTGCAGCACCTTTCCCACCCTCGCTCTCTAGCCATCCTGGGGAAGTTATCTTGAGTGTAATACATGAAGGGAGAGGGATGAATTGATACACGGATTGACTCCACAACTCATTAAAGTGGTAAAGTAGTATGCTTCATTCAGCTGCGGTGCATGGGGGATAGCTCCTCCAAAGGCATGCGCACCCCAGCGTTGTTTTCCCTCTACACTTATTCTCTAAAGTGTTACATATGCAATAGGTTACACAACACGCCTATACATATTCATATCCTTTTCCTGCTTCATGTTATAATGAGCTAAAGCTTCCTTCACGCCTGCGCAGTGCCTCCTGGTGGTCGTGGGCAAGGGTCTCGAGATGAAGTAAACGAGTCTTCCTCACCCTTGGACTTTTCACCTCCGTCTTGCACGTATGCTCACTAGTCTCCTGGCTTCGGCTCAAACCGAGTTCCAGTCTCAGCTGGGTCTTAACCAGATGGATGGTGTTGCAAGTGGAAACTTTGACCACCAGTTCCCCTTATCTGATGTTCTTTCCTTTCTTATACAAGTTTACATTAAACACCAGCTGCACTTTTAGGCAAATATTGTTAACTAAAGAGATTAAAGATAATCAGAAGAATAACATAGGTTTAGCATTCGATTATTAATTCAGGCTCCCTATCAGAATGATGCCAGCATACCACCCAGTCATGCTGGGATTCCTTTCTACTTGCAGATAGAAACATTCCTGTATGACAGCAATTAAAGAAAGGAATCCCCCATCTAACAAAGAGAGCCGCAGCATTCAGGCGCTGGGTTGGATTTTATTAGTGTGATGAAATAGGAAAAGGAGAAGCTCGTGCTGCTCCTTTTAAGCAGCTGCTTGTTCTCTCCCCTTCTCTTTGGGTGCCTCCGCATGCTCCCTCCCTCTCGCTTTGCCGTTGGGGTAGGGATGCAGGTAGGACAGGCAGCCCTAGGCTTCCTCCCTGCCCCAGGCTTCCTGGGCTGGGATCCCCTGGGCTGCACCATTGGCATGCGGCTCCCGGCAGGACTACATCACCGCTAGAGGAGATGCCAGCGCAGACCCGCGCTGCGCCGCATGCAGCCCGCAGCGCCGCCGGCAGCTCGGGGTCCCCAAAGGTAAGAGCGAGTCGTTCCTTCTGCTTCACTGGAGAGTGGGGAGAAGCTGCTGCTGGAGCAGCCTGTGGGGTCTCGGTGCTGAGAGATGGACAGCCGGGAGGCAGCTCTAGGGTCAGGAGAAAGCTCTATTAAACTAAAAGATGCTGCTGAAAATGAGGATGCTCAAGGGCTCGGAGTCAGTGTCCGAGTTGGGATGGATCGGTGGGAGCTATCAGGGACTCTGTTAGCTTAATGGGATTGGAGGGGTCAGAGCAGTCGTGAGCAAAGCCGCAATTTAAACCTGCCCTGCTGCTCTGCCCAGCTGCCCTTGTCCTCTGCGGAGTGCGGAGGAGCTGCTGTGCTTCAGTTTCAACTCGGGCTGAAGCAAGCTTTAAAGTACTCCGGGTGTGTGTCCAGGTTGTAGTGGGCTGGGGGGGGGAAGAAGGTTTTTGCAGGGGGTATGTTGTGTCCACGTGGGAGCTGTGTGTGATGGTGTGGTGGTGGCACCCAGGGGCATGGGGGTGTGCTGGTGCCACACACCCACTGGCCCCAGCATCCCGTTTTAATTGTCCTCCATTATCTTCCCCAGTTTCCAGGGGAGCATAAATGCAGCTAAAGCTAAAAAGTACAGTTAGTCACCTCTGTTAGGAAGGAATAAATGTACAGTTAGTCGCCTCTGTTAGGAAGGAATAAATGAAGCTACAGAGAGAAAGGGGTGATTTGGGGAGCTTGTGGGGCTCACTTTCTGAAGGGCAGCTGTTATGGGACATGGATTCTCTGGCAAGAAGTTCCTGTACGTGTGTGCCTATAGAACATCAACACATCCAGACGCACATCTCTGCAAGGACTGTTTTCTTTTAGAGGACAAGTGTTGTTCCAGGGAATTTTTTATTAAGTGTGTCAAACTGCAGTAATAACAATATGGTCAATAACACCAAGATCCCATTAAAAATAATGGGCAGGAGCTGGCTTCACAAGGATGTTACTTGTCCGGGATGACCTCTTCTCAGGAGGGAAAAAAAAGGGAGTAGCAATGTGGTCATTATAATGTGTAGGTGAGGAGCATCACAGTGCTCTGCGCTGAGGGGAGCCCTTGCTGTGTTTAGTCTGGTCACTTGTAAGCACATTCTGGAGTTTAAAGGGGTGCTCTGCCATGGGGAGTCATGGCAGCGATTTCAGGTAGGATGAAAGTAAGTCATGTGTCTGACATGGCATAAAAAATGCTGTTTCATCACTCCTCTAGAGCCCCAGTATTGGGGGAAGAGAAAGGAAAAGGGTTAATTCTTTGGCTTATCCAGATATTGTATATTCCATAACGCTGTACTGAGCCAGACAACTGTGGGCACCAGCTTCTGAAAGCACAAAGTGAATGTGAAAGGTCCAATAAGGAGAATAAAGGCACATGATCTAGTGTTGGTATGGGGGGGTGTGTGTTTAGTTTCAAAACAGGAATTGATCCAACCTGCACCTGCAGGGAGAACTCGGGATGCTGAAGATGCATCCCTTTCTTGCCTGTGATAACCTCTAGGCTGGGAGCATTGCATTTGAAGCAGGAGAGGTGGAAAAAGCAGGGAAATCCCGTGATCCATGTTGATGCTGTTGTGTCCAGCAGTGTGCTGTATGGGTGCAATGTGGTGAGACAGGTCTGCACCTGATGCAGCACAAGCCTGGTTCCCTTCCTTGCTTGTGCTGAGTGCCAGCCCCCAGGTCCTCCCTTCTCTGCCCAGGGTGGTCTTTTCCTGGCCTGGCCACAGAGTCCCAGGCTTGCTAATGGTTCTGCTGGGGAAGCCAAAACTGACCTTGAAAATCCTCTTCCTGCATCGTCAAGTCAGCAAATTGATTTTCCAGATCATGAGCTGAACCTCTGGAATTGTTCTCTTCTGAAAAGATTATGGAATTACTCCTGTGCTAATGAGTGCTTTAATGTTAATGTGACTAGAAGTCCCAGGAGGACTTTAACAGCCAAGAATAAAAGGCACTGTAGGAAAGGGGAGCTTGTGGTGCCTGTGTCAGGCCTTTATCATTTGGGGTAGAGGGGAGGAGGAAGATGCCTGAAGTTGGGAAAAGAGGAGGGTGAAGGGTGATGCGTGGTCTGCTGGGAAGCTGATAAATCCATCAGGCATACCTTCCACATCTCCCATCTTCACCCCTCTTTCTGAGAGGGAAAGCAGGGAAGGTAACATGTTACCTATTGCTTTTCCTTTTCACGAGCTCTCTGGCAAATACCCATTCCCTCTGGCAGCAGGGATAACCCAGCTCTTGGTGACCTGCTGGGACAGCCCCAAGGACAGACAGAGTCAGGTCACCATCCCCAGCTCTCAGGCAGGCTGTTGCAGCCTGCAGTGGGATTATCTGAGTTCAGCACTTACCCTTCTACCCTCCCAATGCTTTGCTGTCAGGCTCTGTAGTTCAGGGCCATGATACTGGTTTCCAAATACACAATAAGACTTTCAATGCTGTGACCCCACCAAGAGTGTGGCATTTATTAGGGAGAAAATGTGCTTTTGGGGAAGAGTCTGCCATGATCCTGCTGGCTTTTAGAGCTACAGTCTCTCCTCTGCTTTACTAATCCCAGTTTTACTGCGTTGTAACCCCATGGGTTAAAACCAGGTTGTCCCAAATTTGAGCCAGAGCAGAGTTAACCCCCTAGAGATGGGAGGGTGAAGTAGCACAGGGAAAAGGTCTCCATGCCACACAAGCTACAATGCAAGGGGAAGGCTGGCCTATATTTAGGTAAGGGCTCTGCACAGAATGGGTAATCCTCTTTCCCCGAATTATCCAGCCTGGGGATTAGACTGCTTTAAACTCCCCCAGGGCTCAATGGAAGTGGGGGTGATGGATAGAGGGAGGGAGGGAGTGCAGGCAGGCTGCTGGTGACTCATGTGGCTGCTGTAGCCAAGAGGTCACCATGGGCCCAGACGCAGAGTGACACACGAGTGACGTGCAAGGCGAAAGGGAACATTATGGCACCCCGATTAGGAAAGAACATGGAGCTTTGTAAATGTGGAGATGAGGGAGTGTGGCAGCAGGTAGGAGGAGGGACAAGAGACCTCAAGCAGCAGATCTCCAAAGTGTAATATCCTTGCTAGACTTTTTCAAGCTGTTTCACCAGAAAAAGGGATGCTTTTTGCACTGCAGCTGATCTAGCTGAGAAGATGTTCCAAACCCACCTGCTTGGGCTGGCTCTGCAAATACAATTATGGGGGTGCAAGTAGGATTAATCAAGTTGGAGTGCAAATGGATCACTGTCAGTATTCCATTAGAATGTTGAAGGGCGGCCAGTGACACAGCTCAGGGACAGTGGGGGAGAATGGGATGCGAGGAGGCAGGCAGGATGGATAGTGCCCAATCCTGAATGTTTGACTCACAGTTATGGAGCAAGTGCCCTGTGCATAGAAGAGACAGATTTCTGTCCCTTACGTAGAGCACAGTGGCTAGAATAAAGGAGTTCCTGTAACTAATCTCACCCTGGGGACTTCTGTGTGCCACAGACAGGATATTCTTGTCTCCCTTGCATGTGGGTTTTGGGTCTTTTGATAGAAAGAATGATGAAAGGCTGTGGCTGACACCCAGCTGCAAAGGGGCTTTTCCTTCCAGTCCCGAAGGTAGCAGAAAAGGTGTGTTTGTGTGATCCGTTTGTGAAGCAGGAGCAGAGTCCTTGTCTGGGAGCCTGGGATAGCTGACACTGCTGACTTTGTGTCTGGGTTTGTGGTGGGACCACTCGTTTATTTCTCCCTTATTCTCCAGAAGCTAGGAACTGTCTCAAAGATGTTCTGATTGAAGATTGATGCTGGGTGAAGGAAGATGCGATTTATCTGCTTTCACTCAATTTACCAGGCTTTGACTGGGAAATCAGTGCAGGAGTTTGATTTCCCCAACTCCCTTCATATTGCTGCCTGGGCATTTTGTCTCCTTGTTCTGGAGTTACACTCTCCTGTGGACCCTTATAATACAGCTGCCATCCTCAGGTTCACCCTGGCCACCCTTGTCAGAACTGCTGAAAAATCAGGTTTATTCAGTGGGAGGTGAAATGCACAAAGGCACTTTATTTTTCCTTCTCTTAAATCAGTTTATCCTGTCTACTCCTTATCCTACATAAACCAAATCGGGGTTTCTGTCCTGTTGTATTTTACCCCGCACAGAACTAGGACAAATTGAAAGCCTTGTCCTGCTGTTCAGCATTCCCTCTTACTTACATCTGGAGAGTGTCATTTAAATAACTTCAGGGAAGTCTGCATTGAAGAGGGATTAAATGACTGGTGTCCCAACTCACTGCTAGGACGGGAAGTGACTTGTCTGGCAATACAGCTCCTGCCTCGCCCTGCCACACAGAGTCAGTGCAAACCCTTGCTTGTTTCTGCGTGTGAGGTTAGAGCTAGAAATCACTGGAGGATGCCTGCATGGAGAAAGGGAATCAAAGAAGGGGAAAACCAGGGAAAGTCTTTGCCTTTAATATGTGCCAGTGTCTTTCCTCCCTGTGTCAAACATCCCCAATTTCCTGTTTAACTTAAAGTCAACACATCTGTCATGTAGCATCTCTCGATGCCTGGTTCCCCCAAGCCACCCCCCTCCCATCTGCTCTCCCTCCTGCCTCCAGCCTCCCTCCGCTCCTATTGCCTTGCGGCTGCGGGGGGGTGTCTGTGCGTGCGCCTGTGTTTGCTGCTGCCTGATGGACTTTTCCATTGCTTCCGCTTCAGTACGTGGATGCAGTCGCAGCGGGATGATTGGCTTGGCTTGCAGAGCATTTACTTCTAATCTCCGGCTTGTGACATCCTAGCGGAAAGGGGAGACCCTTTCAGGAGCAGCTCCACAGGGTGGAAGGAGGGGAAATGGCTTGTGCATGGCTGTGGTGAAATATTTCCTAGTTCTGGTAAGTGATACTTTTCTCTTTGGTCCCTTTCTGGACAAGCAGTGTGGATGCGAAAGTAATAAGGCTTAATGGGGTAAAAAGCAAAGGGAGGGGAGCTGAAAAAAGAGACAGAAAGTCAATGAAACACATTTGGTTTATACTGAAGCTTTTC